ATACGACAGCTAAGCCAAGCCAGTGAGCAGTGCCGTCGCTCCACATATTCAGAGTATGGTCACCATCTTTCCGGTCACGTTGTTTCAACTCAAAAAACTTCCAGTATTAGTGAGTGTGTGATGATCTGTTCGAGCGAGTCTCGCTGCAAGAGTTTGAACTTCCGTTTAAAAGATAAGTCATGTGATTTGAATGATGCAAACAAACATACTCACCCAGGGGATTTTGGTGCGAAGGAAGGATCAGTTTATATGAACAAGGTATGACCTTGAAGAATTCTATAAAAAGAAAATGAAAGTGTGATTTCTCCCTCTAGCTCAGCCTTTGGTCCAAACTTTGGAGAAAAATTCACTGTCGTTTAGGCTTCTTTGCTTTGTGATGACGACCAACTAGTAAATATATACTCTCCCAAATAGCCGACAATATCGTAATTTATTTACAAGAGGCATTTGTGTTATCGACCAACCGTAGTGTTCGGATGGTTGCAAGTTAAAATACGACGTGGCCCATAGAGTTTCTAAATTTGTAATAGTGAAATAAAGTAAACAGAAAAGGACATGGATAAAATAATGAAAAATGAGTAGCTCAAGCATTCTGGCCAGTAACTATCTATAACATATGATCTACAGGTTGATGAATTCAAATCTTGCTCGGAAATTTTCAATAAGTGGCCTGATGCGGAAAGCGGCTACTACTGGATAGATATTGGGAGTAGAAAGGAAGACGTCTACTGTGATATGGAAAAACATGGTAGGTACAAAAGGATAAAATCGAAAGCAATAAGTCAATTTCAAAAAGAATAAGAAAGATGGTGAAGTTTTGAGCTCGGTAAAGAAATAGAGAAAGATCTTGTTCGTTTTTTCATGAGGGTGAGACAAAGGAAAAATTGAGTTCCCATTAGAAATCCAACCCAGTGAGTAAATTTTTTAGAAAAATATCAAATTCTGCCTCTGATGAAAAAGAATGGGTATACGCTATTTTGCTGTTTTTTTTTTTCTCATCGGCAGTGTTGTTTTAGTTGTAATAAAGGGTAATGCAGTGAGGTTGAACCATCACTTTCATAACGAACGGCCAGCCTCGGTTCCTTTTCAATCTCCCGTATCCGATATTTAAGTTTTAGTTGTCTCGCATATGTATATGTATTTCAATTGAACTTTTTTCTCTTCTCTTAGTACAAGAAATGTTTTCAGCGAGGCTACCTTCAAACTTCTTAAGCTTAAAGTAGTGAAAGTTCTTGTTAATTTTCTTGGAGAATTTATCACCGAGGATGCGTCCTTTCTGTATACTTGCTACAGTTTTCTTAACTGAGGTTTATACTTACGGAACAAAGAAAACGAAAAGGCTAATTTGAAGACATCAATTACATTATAAAACACATTTGACTACACGAGCAACAACATACTTCATTTTGTCATTCGTCAGGCGGTGGATGGACCTTAGTTGTGAGTATCAGCTCAGAGAACAACGATCACCTTCAAAGCGCACCCAATAACTGCCTCAACACCTCGCTGTGTGTTCCCTTTACTGACCAGGATCAAGGTAGAAAACTGAGCGACAGTGACATACATGAGTTAGCTAGGACAGAAGGTAAATTTGAGAAAAATGCATTACAATAACAATAATGATAGTAATATTAATAGGTAGAAAATATATTCTTTTTTGCATGTCAGTCAAATGTACATGTAATTTTATATCTTCCTAGGAACCTTTAGGGTCGATGTGCTAAAAAGTGATCGCACCCTCTCGCATACAGTATTTTATCAGGTAAATGTCTAATACCTATTCATTTACTTTTTTATTTAACCATCTATTCTTATTTTATTCACTTTTCATTTACTAATCTATAGAATGATAGAATGATCAGGTCTTTTTTTTAATATCAATACTCTGGTTATGCGCATCACAAAAAACTATTTCATTGTAATGCAAACATTTCATAAGGGCGTGATTATAGCTTCATAGAATACTTTATGTTTAAACATA